CAATAGGAAACAATCGGAATCGATCGGAGTCATCAGTCATAATGAGCAGTCATGGTTTGTAACCAATAAGATTGAATGGTAAACAATAGGAATCAGACCAATCATATCAGACAGGGAAGTAACAATCTTTGTCACTAGCAAACAACCAAACCGTATCGCGGTCGAGAAGAAAACAACGTAGACGAGGAGAAGCACATACATGACGAGGTAGGTCCCTGTGGGGGGGGCATGTAGATATAGTGCCTTCGGCGCATTCTGCCACCGTGCCTGGGCTGTAGGTCAGAGGCCTCCTGGGTGCCCGTGCGAATCTTCTGGGAGGCCTCTCGGAAGCCTTTTGGAGGTGGCTTTGGAAGTGTATTTTGGGGCGTCTTGGGGGCCTCGGGGGAGCCTTCTGGGGCCTGATTTGGGCCTCTCGGGGCCGCTTGGAGGCACCTCGGGGGCCTCTTGGGGGATCTTGCGGCCATCTTGGGGCTGAGGGCTCAACATGCTAGTTCGTGTGCTTCCCCGTGGGCCCCTCCTGGGGCCATCTTGGCTGCCTCTTGCGCACTTCTGGGGGGCTGTTCGGCCTTCTTGAAGCACTCTTGCTCTTGAGAGCCTCTTGGGTCGTCTTGGGGCGTTTCCAGCAACCTCTTCGGCCGTCATGGAGCGTTGGAAGCCCGCAGCAACCTAAGGACAACCACTGATTCTTGCATCTTGGCGCCCTCCGGAGGGTCCTCTTGGAGCACTCGTGAGCAGTCTGGGAGGCCTTTTTAACCGTCTTGGAGCCATCCTGGGCGTCTTGGAACCCTCTCGGGCTGTCTTGGATGCCTCTTGGGCCATCTTGGGCACTTCTTGGGGCCCTCTTGGCCGTCATAGGAGCCCTCGGGCCTTTGGAAAAGGCACGCGAGGAAGCTTAGGAACGCGTGGGAGCGGAAACGATATTCGAGATTTGGGTTCCCTTCCCTGTACAGAGTGCAGAGAACTCTCGAGGACCTGGGGGAAACTCCACTTTGCGCCTCGAGGCACGGTGGCGGATATAAAACAAGGCATAGAGTGAAGGTAAGCCTCAGACATATGTGTACATACAGCTGTCTCTCTCTCTCTCTGTGTTTATATACACATATAGACATATGTGTTTACACATGCATATATGTGTATATGCACGCAGGTGTTTATGTATACGTATATGTAGGTGTATATGTACATATATATATACACATATATATGCATGTCTATGCACATGCATATGTATATGTGCAGGTATATGACTATGTATCCGTCTAGGTGTATGTATTTGTATATGTTTATGTGCATTCATATTCATATGCATATGCATAAGTAAATGTCTATGTATTTGTATATGTACACGTATATGTATATGTGCATGTCTATGTATATGTATATGTATATGTATATGTAGATGTATATGCATATGCACATGCATACGTACATGTATATGTATATGCATATGTAGATGTACATGCATATGTATATATATACATATATACATATATGTATATGCACATGTATATGTATAGGTAGATGTATATGTAAATGTATGTGTATATGTGCATGTGTATTCATATATTTTTATGTATATATATATGCATATGCATGTGTACATGTGTATGCATATGTATATGTATATGTGTATGTACATATATACATATACAGATATAGCTGTACATGTATATGTATGTGTATGTGTTTGTGTGCATTCATGTATATATATATATATATATATATATATATGTACATATAACGGGGGACCGGGTCTGGGGACCGGGGCCCCGACCGCGAATGTGGAACCCGGCGCGCTGGCCTGCCTCCTGGAGGCCTAAAATCGTCCCGGGGAGCCCTCAGACAGCAATCTTGGCGGCCTCAGACGGTCTCGAGACACCCCCAAGACGCCGTCCAGGGGTCTCTGGCGACGCACGATACGTTTTGAATTGCCCTGGAGGCCCCCTGGACGCCCCGAGAGGCCTTTAAGATTCCGCCCAAGAGCGCCCAGAGAGGGCAAAATCGTTGATTTGCATTGTTTTTCAAATGCCTTTTGCATTCTCGCTGTTTCGTGTTTCCGGCGCCAAAGCACCGCCCAAGAGGCTCCCCAAACCGCTCCAAGACGGCCCAAGAGGGCCCCAAGACGGCCCAAGAGAGCCCCGAGACGGCGCCAGAGCCGCCAAAGACAGCGCAAGAGGGTCCGAAGAAGGCCCCAAGAGGGGCCCAAGAGAGGGAACGCGAACTGAAAAACCAAGCTCTCCGCCCCAAGATGCCCCCAAGAGGCCCCAAGACGGCCCCCAGGAAGCCCCCAAGAGGTCCCACGAGTCCCCCAAGAGGTCGCACGATGCGTTTTACTCTGCCCCGGAGGCCTCCCAGACGCCCCAAGAGGCCTTTAGATGCCGCCCAAGAGCGCCCGGAGAGTGCAAAATCGTTGATTTGAGTTTATTTGTCCAATGTTTTTGCATTCCCGCTGTTTCGTGTTTCCGGCGCCAAAGCACCGCCCAAGAGGCTCCCCAAACCGCTCCCAGACGGCCCAAGAGGCCCCCAAGAGGGCCCCAAGACGGCCCAAGAGAGCCCCCGAGACGGCCCCAGAGCCGCCCAAGACAGCGCAAGAGGGTCCCAAGAAGAACCCAAGAGGGGCCCAAGAGAGGGAACGCTAACTGAAAAATCAAGCTCTCCGCCCCAAGATGCCCCCAAGAGGCCCCAAGACGGCCCCCAGGAAGCCCCCAAGAGGCCCCACGAGGCCCCCAAGAGGTCGCACGATGCGTTCTACACTGCCCCAGAGGCCCCCCAGACGCCCCAAGAGGCCTTTGGATGCCGCCCAAGAGCGCCCGGAGAGTGCAAAATCGTTGATTTGAATTTATTTGTCCAATGTTTTTTGCATTCCCGCTGTTTCGTGTTTCCGGCGCTAAAGCACCTCCCAAGAGGCTCCCCAAACCGCTCCCAGACGGCCCAAGAGGCCCCCAAGAGGGCCCCAAGACGGCTCAAGAGAGCCCCAAGATGGCCCTAGAGCCGCCTAAGACGGCGCAAGAGGGTCCGAAGAAGGCCCCAAGAGGGGCCCAAGAGAGGGAACGCGAACTGAAAAATCAAGCTCTCCGCCCCAAGGTGCCCCCAAGAGGCCCCAAGACGGCCCCCAGGAAGCCCCCAAGAGGCCCTCACGAGGCCCCGAAGAGGCCCCCAAGAGGCCTTTAGATGCCGCCCAAGAGCGCCCGGAGAGGGCAAAATCGCTGATTTGAATTTTTGTTGTCCAATGTTTTTTGCATTCCCGCTGTTTCGTGTTTCCGGCGCTAAAGCACCGCCCAAGAGGCTCCCCAAACCGTTCCCAGACGGCCCAAGAGGCCCCCAAGAGGGCCCCAAGACGGCCCAAGAGAGCCCCAAGATGGCCCCAGAGCCAGCCGCCCACGACGGCGCAAGAGGGTCCGAAGAAGGCCCCAAGAGGGGCCCAAGAGAGGGAACGCGAACTGAATAATCAAGCTCTCCGCCCCAAGATCCCCTCAAGAGACAAGAGACCCCAAGACGGCCCTCGGGAAGCCCCCAAGAGGCCCCCACGAGGCCCCGAAGAGGCACCCAAGAGGGCCCCAAGACGGCCCAAGAGAGCCCGGAGATGGCCCCAGAGCCGCCCAAGACGGTGCAAGAGGGTCCGAAGAAGGCCCCAAGAGGGGCCCAAGAGAGGGAACGCGAACTGAAAAATCAAGCTCTCCGCCCCAAGATGCCCCCAAGATGCCCCCAAGAGGCCCCAAAAGGCCCCCGGGAAGCCCCAAGAGGCCCCCAAGAGGCCCCAAGAGGCCCACAGTAAGCCCAAGAGAGGCTTCAAGAGGCCCCAAGACTGCATCCAAAAGGCTTCAAAACTCTTCCTAAGAGGCCCCCGAAGGCATGCCAAGATGGTCCCATGACGACTTCAAGAAGCAGTCCAGGATGCTCCGAGGAGGTCCCAAGAGGCCCCCAATAGAGCCCAAGAGGCCCCCAAGAGGCCCCTAAGCGGCCTCAAGCAGCATCCAGAAGGCCGGAAAGAGGCCCCCAAGAGCTCAGCGGTCCAGGCGGGGGCCGAACGAACATTTCCAGCCTTGGGCTCCCCGAGGCCCAACAGGAAGCCCTAAGAGTTCGACCATCCAGCCTAGCTAAAACTTGAGCGCGTGCGAAGCGCGCGCGATGGCTCAAGTTTCTATATATGGGACGTTCCAAAAATCGGGCCCCGCCTTCGAGGACCGAAGCAGTTGTCATGTCTTCCTCAGCGGATGGCGGCGGAAGGGCGGTGGAAGGCGGCAGAAGGACAACGAGGCCGTCTCCGCTGTTGGAAGCCAGCGGAAGCCGGCGGACGTAAAATCGCCACATCAAGAGATGATAACATTTGTAGGCTCTGGGTTACTCGAATCCGCCATAATGTTTATACTTGTGCATCTATTGATGTATTCGTGTCATACCTGTACATATGCACAGAGATGGATCGTCCGACTGGTAGGTAGTAATGCCGATTGATGTAAGTGATGGTTGGATCGATGGATCTGGGGCCGCACGATCGACAGCTATCGAAATCGTTAGATCGATCGATCGCGAATCGGATCCGACGCCAATCGCAAGCCGAAGGTTGCACCCATCCCCCTACGCCACCTCCTCGTCACCCGAGCGGTGGTCTTGTAGGCACTGGAGGTAGAGTGGGCGAGACCGAAGTGGCACGGATGCCCACGACAGGGACGTCGGTTTCGGTTTCGGTTCGTGTCGTGCGCGCGGGCGAGGCGGGGCTGCGCGAGGGCGAGGATGCTCCTGCCCTGGCCAAGGCCAGCTCGAACCAGAGTGCCGAAGCGAATCGCATGGGCCCGGGCGTGCGCGTGTGCGTGCCCCGCGGCTGTCCCGCGGTCGTGCCGTGGCTCCTCCCCCCTGTGGTTGCCCCGTGGTTGTCGCGCGGTTGTCGCGTGGTTGTCTCGTGGTTTGTTTTATGGCTGTCCCGTGGTTGTCCTTCCGTTTTCTGGGGTGGCCTGTGGTTGTCCCACGGGTATCCCGTGGAAGTCCCCTTTCATAGATAGGTAGCGATACCGATCGGTAGATAGTGAGGCGTATCGGGTGTCCGGGGGTGAGACCGAAGTGAAGAGGAGCTCCCGCAGCCAGGGACTAGACTTCGGTGTCGGTCCGCGTCGCGCGTGACACACGTGCGAGAGAGGTGAGGCGGATCTGCGCGAGTTCCTGCTACAGTAGGGCCCGGTGAGTACTCAAAAGGCTCCAGTTTTGGTAGCCCACATCGGGAAGGTATGGTATAATGGTATACGTCGTATACGTTGAGGGCTTTGTTGTAGCCTTCGTACGTAGTCACTGGCGCGTCGCAGCCGCGCTGCGCTTCAGCGTGTTGCAGGTAGCGGCCCTCTCCTCCCCTCCCCTCTCTCTCCTCCGCCCCTCCTCCCGCTTATCCTTTTCCTCCTCCCTCTCCTCCCCTCTCCTCGCTTTCACCCTTTCGTTTGCTCCGCTCGCTGGAGCCCCGAGACAGCATATTCAGCGATGCGTGTGTTCACGAGTACCAGTGGTCTGAGCTCCACTACCTCTCCCACTTGCTCTCAGTCTCTCTCTCTCTCTCTCTCTCTCTTTCCCTCTCTTTTTTTTTTTCTCTCTCTCTCTCTCTGTCTCGTCTCTATCGTCTGTCTCTTGTCTCTCTCGTCTCTCTCGTCGTTTCTCTTCTCTCTCCTTCTCTGACTCTATCGTCTCGTTTGTCTGTCTCGATTATCTCGCTTCTCCCATGTACCTCTCACGCTCTCTCTTTTTTCTCTCGTCTCTCTATCGTCTCTCTCGTCTCTCTTGTCTCTCTTGTCTTTCTCGTATCTCTCGTCCGTGCTGTCTCTCTCTCGTCTCTTTTTTTTTTTTTTCTCTCTCTCTCTCTCTCTCTTTCTCTCTCGCTCTCTTTCTTTCTTTCTCTCTCTCTCTATCCCCCTCCCCATATTTTGTCTCTCTCTCTCTCTCTGTCTCCCGTTTCTCTCGTCTCTCCCTCTCTCTCTCTCTCGTCTCTTTTTTGTGTGTTCTCTCTCTCTCTCTCTTTCTCGTTTCCCCCCCTCACTCTTCTCTACCTGCATATGGATATATGGCTGTCAAGCTCGTCTGTCTGGTCCCGCTCGTCTCTCTCTCTCTCTCTCTCTTTCTCTCCCTCTCTCTCTATCTCTCTCTCTCTCTCCCTATCCCTCTCTCTCTCGCTGTTTCTTTCCCTCCCTCTCGTGTCTTGTTTCGCGGTTCAGCCGTCTATGAGTCCTCCCTCTCTGGCGCGGCAAGGGCAGGCCACCATGCCAAGGGGGCAAGGTAGTCTGCGAGCAGGATGAGGGTGGCGGAGGAGGAGGAGGACAACGAGGAATGAAGAGAATGGTCGGAGTGGCGGAGGAGGGGGGTGTAGTAGCAGGAGGGGAAGGAGGAGGAAGAGGATTGTCGCGGATGTACCCTTAGGCCGTGGGCCGGGCTCACACACCTCAGCCCCTAGGGGAGCGGGGCCTGGCCGATGCGAGAAACCTGCCACGCGGCCTAAAGCGGGGGGCGGAGGACAGTAATGAAATTGAGGTGCTTAGTGAGGAGCACCGGTCGATGCTCCACCTCTCTATCGCCTTCGCTGTCCACCGCCCCCTCCTCACCCTATGCCCTCTGGTGATCTGGTCAAATCCGGGCTCCTACAGGGTGGCATCCCGAGTCGGGGAAGCGAACTTGCCTCCGCAGTGGTCCGCGCACACACTGAATATGTAGCCGTGCGCTGCCCAGCGGTTCCCCTCAGGGGAGCAATCGGACCCCTAATGAGTCCGCGCGCCTCCCTGCCGCTGAATTTGAGCTCCAGGCACGGCCAAAACAGCCTCAGTGCACCTGTAAGCTGCCCAGCTCACCGGTGTTCTCTCCAGGCACGGCCGGGAGCCACCCGTTGGGAAAGCCCGACATCATGACGGGCGAGATGCGAGCACGATAGCGCGACTCATGAGGGGTACAGTCCCCAGCATGAGGGGGCAACGCATGAGAGGTGCAAGCCCCAGCGTAAGGGTCAACGCGCGAGGTAAGGGGGACCAACTCCCCAGCATGAGGGGTCACCTTTCTGTACCCCTTTGGCGTGGCTGGGGAATGGCATTTGCCCCAGCCCGCGCTCAGACTCCACCCTTCTCTAACCCCCTCTGGCGTGGCTCAGACTCCACGAATCCTTTAAACTGCCGTGAACTCTTGAATCGAATGTGCGTGGCGCTAGAGAGAGACACATACTGAAAAGAAACCGTCCTCCATCCGTGAAGTTATTGTAAACTTTAAGACAAATGTGCGCGGCGCTGAAGCGAGAGCCGCAGTTTGAAAACGGCCCGCCCTCTATCCGTGAACCTTCTGCTAACTTCTAAAACGAAGGCGCGCGGCGCTAAGGCGAGAGTTGCATGTTGAACACCACCCGCCCTCCATTCGTGAAGCTGTTGCAAATCTAAGGTTGAGGGTCATACAGGCTGAGGAAGTCTCAGGCGAAACGGCAAGTCTGCCCTACCGGCACGCTTCGGGCTGCAACAGGTAAGAGTTATATATATATATATAGAAAAG